CCTCCTTGATGTAGCCCGCCTAAAAGAGCTTATATACCTCTTCACAAATTGATCGGACCAAAGTTGTTGCTGACATCCGAAGCTTTTTCTTCACAAGCCGGGTGGATGAACTGACATTGAGGTAGTGATAAGCCACATGAATGGGATTGCTTGAAATTTCAGTGGCCAACCATACAAGGAAATTACGGTGCTCCTAGAGAGTCTAGATCAACATTTCTTTATGTTCTGCTTCAAAAGTTCCATTAATTAGATGAAAACATTATCAGGATCCTCAAGTCCACAGGGATTTTGGTTGTGGCCTCATCTTCTTCGAGGCTTCCTTCTTGTTGGTGTTATATTTCTAGCGCTCCTTGCTTCATCTCCCCGCTACCCATAGATAACATGTTCAGGACTGCTCCAAATTCTCACGTATTGTAACAATCACCCAGTATATGGTACGTTGACACCACAACCCATAAATCATTGAAGAGTTGGCGACCGAAGATTGTGTAGTAAGTTGGTGGCACATCAACCACCAAGAAATCTTCCATTTTAGTGAATTGGTTTTTTCCCTTTCCTCAAGTGGCAGATTTCACAATTATTTTGAGCACCTCCTTTCATTTGCCAGAAAACCCATATAATGGTTCAGTCAATGCAACCAAAAATTCGGTTGTCAAATTCATTTTTTCAAAGGTAACCTTGAACAAAATATTCCCCGAGCTACTTGTATCAACCAAAATGCTACCTACCTGGTAGCTACTAATTAGTGTAGTAACGAAGATGACATTATTGTAGGGGTTCCCGACTGGAGGTAGATCTGTGTTGGTGAAAATGATATAGGGATAGGGCTTCCTCATTCAGACAAGAGTCATGACACAGTATTCCTCTTATCAGCTTCTTTTTTGGTCAGGTCTTTGATCGAATCACCTTCTAGTATTGTCGGTACTATTCTTGTTATGTGAGTATTATTGGCTCATATAGGTCCATCTAACTCATCCTCTGCAAGTGCTTTCTCTTATTGTCGAGTATGTGCTTCCGGGGCCGCGAACTCTTTGAGTTTTCTGGCACGATTTAAATCTTCTACCAAGCTATATATGTGACTGCATTCCTCTGTATCATGTTCGTTGTTCTATGGTACTTATAATACTTATTAGGATTTCTGAGGCAAGCTTCGGTTCTCATTAGTGTGACCTTTTGAAAGTATTCTTTGTTATATATGGCGTCGACTAGTTCTGCCTAGTTGTGTGGGTCCCGACGTTGCATGATTTCCCATGGAGGGATCGTTCAATCTACTGCATCTGCAAATGTCTCGTTGGGCTTCTTTGTCCCTGCAGGAAGACCGACCTCTTTCACTCTTCAAATGAGGGTCATCCTTCTCCCTCCATCCTTCATCTCTAGAGCCTTTCTTGTCAGATTGTCGGTCAAAGTTCTCATCTTTAATAACAGACTGGTTCAAGTAATCTTTAGCCTTGATGCAGTCGTTAGCAAACTCCAAGAGTTTAGCTAACATTTTGGATTTCTGTAAAACCAAGAAATAAATGAACTGCAAACTTTTTAGCCCTTGTGTTGGGGCAGCTTTGGCAAATACTGGCTCTAGGTTTTGTACCTCGAGCAACTCCTTTTTGGAACTGCTTAACGTACACCTGCAGACTCTCGTTCGGTCTCTATCTTATATATTTATTAATCATTACACATTTACATATGTGCAACTAACGTAGACACATTTTGACCTTGTAACCACTGTTAGCACCGTTCCATGTTTGTAACAGTATTTGGCATCATTTTGCATTTGTATCTGTCTGATCTGATCGCCTTGTATTCATGTGGTCAGCCAAGAGTATCAATTGACCGATTGATTTACAGTAGCCTCTTCCAGAGAATTTCGTTGCAAAGGCTCATCGTCCTTGGTAAGGATTGTTCCATCAGACATATGCTATTTTATTGAAATCTAACAAATATCATTCCTTCAATCGATGAGCCTAAGAATCTGATTTGGGCAGCTATTGATCTTCCTAATACCAGATGTCGGCTGAGTAATCGTCGACTTAGGTGTGCAACATTTCTTGGTTCGGTCAGAGGTTTATTCAATTGGCCAAAGATTCGATAGACTGGTGAAATGATAAATGTTCGTGCTTCTACTGCTTTCCTCGTGCGATCGATTGGATTTTCTATAGATTCGTGTAGCCAAATTAATCACATACAAATATTGTTATCATTAGTCACTGCCTGTTAGAGAACACTGTCAACTCTTATTGCTAGCCTTCACTGGATGTCAAAAGAGAGAGAGCTGAACGAGGAAAGTATCTTTGCGGGTAGGGCTGTCAAAATGACTGGTTGTTTACGAACAGCTCTTGTTCGGCTCATTAAGAAGCTCGTGTTCGGCTCGTTAATTTCGTTCGATAAGTTAACGAGCCGAACATGAACTAAGATGTGTTCGTTCGTGTTCAGCTCGTTTTGGCTCGAAATACTACTCATCGAGTTATATATATAAAGTAGTATTTTATTTTTTTGCTTTTATAGACGGGGATCCTCTCCCCCTCCAATTTTTGTACCTTTTCTTTTTTTAAAAAAAGTAGTATTTTAAAAAAATCTAATTGACTACAAAGCTACAAAGATTTATAATCAATTAAAAAATTGATTAAGAAAATATAATAAAAATTATTAAATTAGATTCAAATGATGTTTTAATAGAAATAATAATTTTTAAATCTTGCTCAAATTCTTATTGTCTTATGACTACATCATTAGGGTTGTTAAAAAAACTCTTTGTTCGTGAACAGCTCGTGTTCGGCTCGTTAGCCGAACACGAACATACTTTTTGAGCTCGAAATATAAACGATGCTCAGCTCGTGTTCGGCTCGTTTACACCCCTAAAAGCAAACATAAAAATAAAATATATTTTATTTCAAATTAAAATAAAAAAAAACAAAAATTAAAAATAATCTCAAGCGGCTTTCCAGTAATATGCGAGAACAGGATAAAACAAATTATTGAGTAAATATTTAATCTATTAATATTCATATTTTACTTTAAGTTAATTCAAAACTTGTAAAATCATGTCTCAAGCATGAGCATATCCTGACTAATTTTTGCCCCCTTACATCCTCGCCTCGAATTTTATAATTTTTAGATTAATTTTGACATAAATGAAATATAAAAATTGATTGATTAGGTATATATTATCCTATATTTATGTCAATATTAATTTAATGTTTATAAAACTCATAATTAGGGAAAATGCCTTCCTAGACTCCTTTTTTCATAAAGATAGGTTGTAGCATTTCCCGTTTAGGGCAGCTTATAAGTGCGGGTGGCGTTTTCAAAACGGCGTCATACTGTTTGGTTCGGGCGTTTCATCAGCTTATCCGAAATCGCGTTTGGGTTTTTACACTAAACTCAGGCCGCGGGCCGAACCCTGCGGCCCGCCCGTGGGCCGCGTTTTAGGATAAACAACTTATTCTGAAATGCACAAGCTGCCCCAAACGCATCATTAATGTAGCTAAGAAATGGGTTGAATACATTTAGACATGTATCGAATAAACAAGATGTGCTCCCCACTCATTACAAAGATGGTTTAGAAGGTCCAAAGTCCATATTGAGAAGAAGATTGAAGACCGGTGGATGCTCATTTTATTTGTCTTATTTTTTTTACTCTGGGAAATTTACGTACATACCGCACACTTTTATATATTTACACAGGAACACTTGAACTTTTATTACATTTAGTTCACTCCCCCTTTTATTAAGGAGAAGAATTTCCCTAAACCACTATAAATTACATACTATCTCTAAATCATTCAATTTTTGCCCTCTCCATTTAAGTATAAAAAAATACGATTTAATTACTTTAATTTTAATTAACTAAACTACCAAGTAATTCCTATTCCATCATAATAAATACTTTACTAAAACTTAATAAGTTTAGATCATTTATTAATTAATCACACCATTTATATCTTTAATGATTATAATTAAAAGCATAATTAGCCTAAAAAGAAGTTTTCGATTATTCTAGTTTTTTATGAATTAATAACTAATTTTAACATTTAGTATCATTAATTTATTTAAATTTATAATAAAACTTTAACTAGCCTATATATTAGTTAACTAATTAAATACTGCATATCACTCAATTCCTATGCATTTACATATCAAACCCCGAAACTTTAATTTTTACATATGTGTCATCACAGCAATGCATGAAAATGTATATTTCACTTTTTAAAAGTTAAAATAGTAGTATTTTTTACGTGATAAGGCAGATTTGGGTGACATGTAAATATCCACTAATTGGGTTATGCATATGTAAATGACCCTAAGTAGTAACTACTTACCAATTAATTATCTATAAAATTAAATTCAGATAAAATTTTAATGATAAAAATAAAAATATTAATCATGAAATTCTCAAATATATTACCATGTATTAATATTATTAAACAATAATAAAATTTAATGTTCATAATTAAATCTTACATTTATTTGAAAAAAATATTAGAATTTCTCTTTTTATTTATTAAAAAATTTATTTATAATGCCTAATTATCAAACAGAATATATAAATTTATTGAACTTAATTCAAACTAATTGTTGTTATTAATATATATTTATCTAATCAATCTAATTAATACAATTAATTACAAGCATCTTTTAAAACATATTAAACCTATTCTAGAGCTCTTTTAAGATCTTTTAAAACATATTAATTACATGTATTAAAAAATACATCTCCCAAATAACATAGGCAATAGAGCAATTCTTCTAGCACCCACACATAAATCAATATATGATCAATATCATTACCATAAAAATAGTTGTTTTGGCCCACCATGTCATGCATAACTTTTTCTTTATAAGTTGAACGAAATTAATTATAATGATTACAAATTAAAAATTTTTATGCAAATTTATTAATCGCAAACTCTCATTCAGCACATATATAAGATCTTGAACTCATTAATTAACATTAAGAAAGAAATTAAAAAACAAATCGAACATAAGATCACAAATTATATGGTTTGCACATCAATTCTGCCATATTCAAATCTACACAAATTTCGGTAGATTTACAAGCTAATAACATAACAAAGTTTTATATACTGAAACATTAAGGAAAAGCCAATAAAGCACAAAAATTTGGCCTTCATTTTACTGCTTCAGAGATTTTAATGAAGATCTTCAGCAAGAAGACGCTGCTTTAACTTTCTAAACAAATCCTTTGTGGTGAGAACTTAGGAGAATGAGACCACCACACAAGCAGCATAATCCTCACAGACTGATCTCAATGTGATCTGCCATCCCATTTTCTTTTCTAAGCCATTCCGTGGCTACAAAATCAGATCTTTCTATAGATTATCAAAAGAGACATAAGATCTAATTTGAATGGTAGCAGTCTCAGTATGAGGACTTGAAGAAATATGATGGAAGTCTCAGCACAATGGTTGCAGATCCATGGTAAAGCATAGACTCTCGAGGAAGGCACCGAAGGCTTCGACTCAACCGGCTCACATTGTTAGTTTCTATTCCTAGGTCTCAGGCACCATTTGCAGCATTGACTTTGGTTGAGAGAAACATGTAATTTCAGAAAAATTATATGGAAGAATATTCTGAGTCTAGCAGTCTGCAGCTGGATTGAGGCACATAGAGAGCCAAGATTTTTGTTGCTGTAAAATTTGGATGTAAATTTAAATTAGATCCACTGGAGCCATCTTCATGATGCACCTAAACAAATTAGGATCAACTTTAACAAGGCTCCATTCATGCCAAATATTTTTTAGGGGGATGTATTTACATGCATAGCACTTGAGTCTTTAATGTCACATCAAAAATACCACCATCAGCTACTTTTAAAGGTGATATACACATTTTCATTCATAGGCCCAACGCACCAAAGTGCAATAACTGTATATATGAAACTTTAGATCTTAGATATGTAAGTACATGGAAATTGTGTGGTACGTATGTATGTAAATTTCACATTTTTATCCTTTTTTCTGGGAAGATAAGCAGCAAAAAAAAATGTATCTTTGGATGAAAAGTGCACAACTTTTTCCAAGTTTTCTTAAAATTTGTTTTGGAAAATAATACTAGTTAGAAAGCAAAGCAGAAATTAAAATTGAGAGCAAAAGCTTTTAAAATGTTTTGACAATAAAAAATAAATAAAATAAAATAAAAAACATAAGCCAACCAAAATGAAAACTCAAGTCTCTTCCATTCATATTCTCCCCTTCCATTTGTTTATTTACTTTGATTTTCTCTGATCTAGAACCCTGACAATCAATCTATTTGCTATATGCAACATACTTTGTTTGATGCAATAAGGGATGAAATTAGTCAAGAATTTCAAAATAAGAGTAAATCTGAGTTTAGGCTTAAAGTAGATTAGCCAAGTTAACCAATCCAAATGTCAAATAAAATATAGGAATTGACAAGAATTAAACATGCAATCCTAGCCAAGGAACCTCCCACTGAATTAAATTAGATTAATGCTTAAAACTTGATTAAACACTCTTGATCATTGCAGCAGAAACTTAATTAAATCTAACAGGAGTTTCTTAAATGAAGAACTTGCTCTTTGACCGATCAAACTATCACAAAAACCAAAACCTTAAATCCCAATTATTTCAGATACGCTCCATGAATCCTATCTTTAAATCAATTCCAGATTTTAAAATATAGAAGACAATAACTAACATTTCTTCATATCTTTAATTACTCCTCCTTCACCTAATCCTGGATCTTACCAAACCTTAATCTGCTACTAATTGAATGCTCAATCTCCGTGAAGCCAACTAATTGAATTGCCATTCTTGCAAAGCATCAAAAAGCCGGACTATGTAAAATAAAAAAGAAAGAAGAGAAAGAACTCACCTTCTCAACAAGATCGTCTACCAGAAGCTCTTTTAAGCAATACACTGAAAACCTCGGCACACCGCCAACCAAATCAGAAACAAGACCAAGCAGAGAAGCAAATCAATGGCGACCAAGATCTTTACATGCCGCCACCACAATCGCCGCCCATTCTGCTGCATCCAAGCCCTAGCGCTCAAGCTCTTCTGGAGCGGCATCGGTCCTGCCGGCTCAACCGGCATCTCTATCCACATCTCTCCCGGCGAACCCATGCCCTCTTCATCGCCCACACTTCTGATCAACAATGGCGCCTCGGCCGTCTTCATCAAGGCCGATGAAGGTGAGTTGTGGACGATGGATACGAGGCGGTCTTCGTTGACGCTATTGCGAAATCGATCGCGCATCAGCTCAAGAAAGCGTAACAGGGAGGCGGAGCGTTCGGCGATGGCGAAATACGTGTGGCCGCCCTCGTCGAAGAGGAAAGCGAAGGTTCGATCTCCGGCGGTGTGGGAATAGAAGGAGTGAAAAGAAGGCGCAGATTGCAGGGCGGCGAAGGCGAGGGATTCCAGGTTGCGATCGAGGCTGTGTGAGTAGAGGATTCGGTTTGCTTTCGAGATGGAGCAGAAGAGAATGCTAATTCCCATGGAGCCATCCATGGGAGATGGATATCTTTCAGAGTGAAATTGGATGTGGTCAATCGAAAAAACAAATTAAGGAAAGAACTGAAACTTGTTCATGTTGAGGTCTCCGATTGCGATCTGGAATGCATGGATTGAAAGTAAAGGAGAGAATTTGGGTGACTTTGCGTATCGATTTGTTTCCATTGAAATTTGGGAGCTTTTCTAGGTTTTTTGGCCAGGAATCGATCGGACGTCCAGCGATTGGAGTCCATGTGTTTATTCTAAATCTTTTTTTTCTTTTTCTTTTTTTCTTTTTTTTTTTTTTGTTGGGTGGGGGCGGGGGGGATTAGAAAGGTATGGAAGTCTATTTTATACTAACAGTTTGTTTTCCAAAAAAAAATAAAAGAATAGTTTAGTCTGAGGTCTGTCTTTTACACATATAAAGTGCGAGCACGAATTTTAAAGAGATGAATGATATCAAAGCGAAGAATGATATCAAAGAAGGGTCCGTCAGTAGAACTCTCTGAAGCCAAATTGTTAACTTGATGTATTAAAGTCGAGGCCAACTAAGATTATTGAAAGGTCCAAACTCGAATGATTCGACCAAAAGCGAGGCACAGAATAATCTAAGTCATTTATCATCATGAACCAAGCTAAGAAAGGAGCTAATCTCTCGGGCTCTACAGTTATGCCGGAAACATCCAACAGTCTCTCTAAATATCTTTAAGAATTAATAAGAAAAGTTATAACCATCCATACGGATCTCTTCATTTAAGGGCAGCTATCTATCAGATTACGATGAGTCACCCTTCGCCCGATAGACTAACTTCTTTTTGTAGACAGGAGTTCCTCATTGAGGATCAATGATTGACTACCGCCTTGATTGAGTAATCAGCAAAACAGCTGATCCGATCAATCTTGTCGATCCCTTGATAGTAGAAGATCAAGCGACCAACAACTTCTACCAGACCTAGCCAATCGACAGCGCCTATCAAGGCCTAATTAGCCTAGCTAACTAGCAATACCTAGCAAGGGCTTGCCAATCCAGCCAACCAAGCCAAAGAACAACTAGGCTCTGGTCCCACATACGCAAAGAATAACCTGTATAGCCCTCAAATAAAGTAGCGACATAAATATAACTTCACATACTATATCATTTTCTCTATAGACAGATGATCATTCTATGAATACACATTTATTACAAAATACTTTTCATTTCATGCGCATCCCCCATCTCTCTTTCATCTTATTGCGCACTCTATTTCTTAAATGTGATTCACTAAAAAATAAGAATTAAACAATAATATTATATATTTTATGTTAGGATGATATAAATCTTAAGGTATGTTTGATTTTATTTGTTATATATTACCTTTCAATATATAAAATTAATATTTTATACAACTAATGATCAACATTCCATAATATTTTTTCAATAAAAAATTGTGAAGAGTAAAAACATTTTGAAGAGCAGAGCTTTATTTTCAGAGCATACTTACAGTAAAAAAAAAGGTGGATTTAAATATAAACCAATCTTTTCTTATGTATTTAAATATCTAATACTTAGATTTTAATTTTTTACATACATAAAACTTCAAGAAATGAAAAGTTATATCTCATTTTTAAAAAGTTTTAATCTTTTTTTTTTTTTTTTTTGGAAAGAAAAGATTAGGGTGATATAAATATAAAAAATAAAATTTTGCCGTTAGATATGAAAATAAATATAAATTAGGTGGTATTCACGTAAACGCCCCAAAAAAATTTTTATTCAAACCCCCTGATCATTGAGCTATTATTCTGTGCAGACAGCGAACGCAAGTTACGTCTGCTGTCCAATGAGAATTTTTTTAAAAAAAAATTAATTGAGACCCACTGACATACACTTTTGATAGGGAGAGTATTTTGATTGATTCACCGCACACAATACTTTTTCCTGATTATTACACCTTGGATGAAAGCCAGACTTATGTTCATCAATCACTTTTTTGGAAAATTTACTAAGAATGTGTATGTATTTACATATTTAACACCTAAAGTTTAACATATGCACTTATGACATGTTGTCATAAAGTAAAAATTATATTTCTCTTTTGCAAAGATCATTATAATAATATTTTTGATGAGATAGTTAAAGATTTACATGGTATACTATGAGTGCTTATGTTGAGCTCAAAAGTGACCACGGTTGAGCGTGAAATTGAGAGAAGATGAAAGACAAAGATGATGTTGCCAATAAAAATAGTGTATCTAATATTTTTCTCATGATATGACATTCTATTTATAGATATATAACACTTGGAGTGCATAATTACATATAAAACCACTTCGTATACAAAGAAGTTCAGTGGTATAAATGTCATTTTGCATAATATACAAATGATAATGATTAAAAATACATTTATAATGAATTTATTAGTCTGTCATGATGACTCCCAATTCTCGGCTCATGATGGCGGGTAGATCCACATGAGGACGGCATAGAGACCTCTTGACTAAACTCATCAGTGAACTTGCTTCATCCTTCGGTAAAAACCTACTTCATCCGGTTGGATGCAGAGATATTTTTTGCTTCGCTTGATGTGGAGTTGTCATTCGTTCGGCCGGGTGTGTATTGACTCTTCGTTCGGCTGTGTGTGTCTGTCGACTCACCTACTAAAAGGAACGACTCGTTAGAGCCCTAGGTTTAATTTCTCCACTGACATGACGCCTCTGACAAACTAAATCAACATTTGAGAGATGCCTACATGGTTTGACTATAGATCCCACTTTATTTGCCATGTATTTGCATCTCTCTTTTGAGGTTCGTGCAGTTAAGAATCTAATTATATATTTAAATGTTAGATGTATAAATGTATAAATATTATATGTGTACCATATGTAGATGCCCTAAATTTTTTTTCTACTGAATAAACAACGGTTAAATATTTTAATAAAAATTTATCAAACACGTGGCATAACAGACATGTAAGGCAATTATATTATTTTTATTTCTCCAATAAATTAAAAATGAAAAAAGAGTAATGCTGTGAAATCTATGGCAAAATATTTAAATATTAAAAAATTCATATATAATTAGTGGAATGAATATAAATTAAAACATCAGAGAAAAGTTGATAGCGCGCAACAGATTAAGGGTCTGTTTGAGGCAGCTGAAGCTTCTCAATTTTTCAACTGCAGCTTAACTGCCCCAGAAAACTGTTGCAGAGAAGCTGACTAGTTGTTTGTTGCAACTGTGTAAAAACAGCTGTGTGACAACTGTTTTTAGGCAAATGACCATTCTGCTCCTGTTTAGTAACGCTATTTGTAACAGAACTGTAACAGCCATATATTTGATACTTCAAAAGCAGAAATTTACTTCAAAACATTACAAAAATTTAGATACACAAACAGTGAGTTCCAAAAATGCTAAAAAAGGGAAAATAGTAAAATTACAAATTAATATATTGATGATATATATTTGATCCTCATAGTCATCAATGTCAAAGCCACATCAAATGCCAAAACCTAATCCTCATTTTTTAATACAAATTACAAAGTAGAAAATCGATCCACTAATAACATCAAGCATTCACATCCATACCACACATTCATACAAATCCAACAAAAATAGATGTGAAACCAACAAAAAATCGAGCCACCAAGTCACATATCTAACATTAGAAATCCAAAAAAAAAATCTATTGTGCGTTTGTGAGAAGAGGGGCATACCGATCAGAAACAGAGTAGGAAGAGGAGGAAGAGGAACTATGCAACATGAGAAGAGGGAGAAAAGGGCGGACAAAGGGCAAACGAAGGGCGGCGAGAAAAAAATCAGGCCGCGTCGGAGAAGAAGAGGAATGGAAGACCAAGAAGATGAACAGAAGATTTGAAGCACTTAGGACAGACGGGTGAAAGGGCATCCAGGTAAAAAATTGGGGATGAAAAGCAACCTATGGGGTCAAATTTGTGTCTGTTTTTTCTCTTATTTTGCATGTGTCGCAGGTCTGCCGCCGCCCCAACCATCTCTCTTCATGGTGTCTCCCTTTACCCAAGTTTACTTTTTCTTTATCTTAAAGGTTAGTGTGGTAATTACTAATTGAGGAAAAGCATAGCCCTTCCGGGTCATTACATTTTCACAATTTGTTTTAACCTATGAATTTGCCAAATTACATAAATAAATTAAGCATGAAGTAATATGCCATCATAAAATTGAAATAAAAGCAATTCTAAAAATTTATAATCCTACACATGATTATTTCTCATTACAAGGAGAAAGATAAAGAAAACTACTCATATTTCATGGGAAAAATACAACTACACATGGATTGATATTTAAAATTAGGTTTACACAGTAAACTTTAACAAAACTCAAACAAAATTACAAAACACTTATCTCAAACTCCTCAAGCAAATCTCTTGAAGTTCTTTTGAAGAATTCTCAACTCTTCTTACAATCTCACTCTAATAGACACACCCCTCACTTGAAGAGACACGCCCCACACACACCTTAATAAACTTTCAATTGAAGAGACATCCCATTATAATAACCCTCGAAATCCCCAAGGGTCACTTCAGATGCCCCTTTAAAATACGTCCAAATACATTGTATTTTACAAAAAAAAAAATCAATTTTGTTATTTAGGCGCTAGACTTCTAGAAGCAATGAAATAACTGTCTGACGCCTAGGCGCCAGGATCTGGCGCCTAAACGACAGGTCAAAATTTTCTTCTTTGCTCCATTTTCGATCAATTTGCTCTAATTGTTTTACCAATTATACTTGTAATGAAAAATAAATAATATCTTCAATTAAAGTGCAGTATCACTAAAAATAAGCATTAAATGTATATAAAAATAACACATTTTCAAGCATGTCATTTAGCAAAATTGGGGCCGCAGTTGCAGGTTTGACCCTGTGACACGCACTTCTTCTCAGATATTTTACTCGCTTACCCCTGGATTCCACTATGCATTCGTATTTAGCCCTTACCTTCCCCGCGATTCTTCAACTTCCTCTACCATAACCCTTTGTTTCAAAAACTAGCTTCTTCTAGTATCACCTTTCCCAATATTCTCTTTGAGAAATTTTTATTTCTCGTGGGATTGCACCGTATAACAAATTTTTCATTCATATTTTTTATTTTGTCTTTTAGCATATTTATCATTCATACACACGCACTCTGAATTGAGGCACTAAAATATATAGCCTTAAAAAATTACTGTGATTGAGTATTATGCATAGCTACTTGTAAGAAAGAGCAACATATCATCTTTGTCATCATTTTTATGCTCACTTCTAGAAAACATGTGTAGTTGTGGT